GAAACATGCTGGCGTAAACGCGGCGTGTCGCTGGTGAGCGGGATGATCGGCGGCATGTGATAGGATTGCTGCTAGTGTGCGGGCAGACCGCGTGGCGAATTATGTCCGTGATGTCGCAGTGCCATGCGGATTTGCGCGGCCTGGGTGGAAAGTGCGTTTGCGTGGCGCCGTGCCACTGGGGAGCGCGAAACACGCTGGCTTGCTACTAGTGTGCGGGCAGTGGCAGACCGTGTGGCGAATTACGTCCGTGCTGGTCGCAGTGCCATGCGGATTTGCGCGGCCTTGGCGGGGAGTGTGTTTGCGTGGCGCCGTGTCACTGGGGAGCGCGAAACAGGCTGGCGTAAACGCGGCGTGTCGCTGGTGAGCGGGATGATTTGTGGTATCAGGAGTGTCCCAAAAGCGTGCCCCGCAAGAGCTTCCTACAAGAGTGACCCACAAGAGTGTCCCACAAGAAGTGTCCCAGATAGAGTGTCCCACAAGAGTAGCTTGACACGCTCACATCTGTAGATCTACCTCTCCACCTCCACACATCTGCACATCTATATCGCACCTGCGCATCCACACTGTCCCTCCTTCACATCCGCCCTCTCTTTCTCTCTTTCTGCTTCTAGTGTGCTCTGTACATTTACATCGTCACACGCTCACATCCGCAGACGTACCACTCTACCTCCACACACCCACACATCTGCGCATCTATATCGCATCTGTACATCCACACTGTCACTCCTTCACATCCGCCCTCTCTTTCTTTCTTTCTTTCTTTCTACATGTCCTTTCTCTGACCTGCGTAGATTTACATCTTGACACGCTCACATCTGCAGATCTACCTCTCCACCTCCACACATATGCACATGTATATCGCACCTGCGCATCCACGTAGTCACTCCTTCACATCCGCCCTCTCCTTCTCTCTTTCTACACATCTTTTCTCTTCATATTTTAAATTGCACCCAGAGGTCATGGCTCTTGGACAAGTCGATTTGAACTATCGGCTTACTCGGAATTGCTGGAAAAGCACCTGTCTCGCACGTTCGAGGGGTTCGTTCACGGTGTTCTGTGGAGCAAAACACTCGTTTGAGCCTGGAGCTGCGTCGAGCGATGACGTCACCGTTGTGGTTGGAGCCTTACTTGGAGTCAGTGCTGCAAGGCAAGATTTCCATATTTGCTCTCAGGTCGCCCTTACGTCCATTTCGTGGAAACTTCAGTGTGAAATGTACGTTCTTCAGTTCTATTCGAGCCTCTTCAGCGTTGTACTTGCACCACTAAGGTTGACGTTGCGCTGCCGTTGCGTCGACGCATCTACGTCTACACCCCCTCACCACTGTACATTTACATCTTCACACGCTCACATCCGCAGATCTACCTCTCCACCTCACCACACCCACACATCTGCGCATCTATATCACCTCTGTACATCCACACTATCACTCCTTCACATCTGTCCTGTCTTTCTTTCTTTATATCTTTTCTCTCGCCTCTGTACATTTACATCTTCGCACGCTCACATCCACAGATCTACCTCTCCCCCTCCATACATCTACACATCTATATCGCACCTGCGCATCCACACTGTCACTCCTTCACGTCCAGCCTCTCTTTCTCTCTTTCTATATATCTTTTCAACAGTGCTGGACAATGACAATCACATGTTTCGCTCTCGGGCCAACCGTCGTCTAGTTCTGTTTTTCTAACACTTTCCAATTTCACATTGCATTCAGCCTCTTCCCGCCCCTTCCCTGCTACAGAGCAAGGGGCTCAGTTCTGCAAGCAATGAGCGAATGGGCTCTTGCTAGTGCTTAGTACCAGTAGCATATGAAGGGGTAGTGATGTGCGAGAGCAACGCACGCACAGGAGCACTCTTGTATCTGATAATACATACTCATCGTCGGTTTCATATGATTGTCATCAGTTTCACAACATTGTCATCCCGAGAAAAACAAAAAGGGCCGTCGTTTAGATGTGTTTTTTTGGAACGCCAAAAAACCCGCAGCGCAACGGTTTTCGTTTTTTTTTTCAGTGCCGGATTCTGCTTTGCTTCAGGCCATGGCCTGCCGCATCCTTGGAGCACTTAGTGTACTTTGGATTACTTTTGCCAAAGAGCAGGAGCTTTGAAATGGTCAATGTTTGCTCTTACTGGCTCATACTTTTCTTCATTTTCTGTTCCTTGATCAGTATTGGTTGGGTTGGCCAGCGACCTCCGCCCTCATTGTTTGTCGAGTTTGTGTTGGCCCGTATTTGCTTGCGCAAGGCTTCAAGTCAAGTGCCCATTGTGAGTGTTTCGGGTACCCGACCATATGCATCCTGGTCGCAAACAAGAGCAAACAAAACTTACTCATGTAAGCTCGCGACATGCAACTAAAACTGAAACTGAGACACTAAGACTAAGACTACAAAAAAACATCATTGAATCATGTCCTCAGCCTTCATGTTTTCAAATTCCTACTTGTCAAAGAGCGATGCCTAGGCTGTGATGAACGGTTTGATTTGTATCAATATTCTCGAAACTCCAACGAAGAGCCTACTTCGAAGTTTGCTTCAATGTGCTTTATTCACGTCGCTTCGCGACGGTAACCGCCCGCACCGCATGGGAGGGCTCAAAGACTGCAGTCAGGCTCCAGAAACGGGTTTGGGCCATGTTTACGACGTTGAAGTCCCTATCTCGAGGAAGCATGCTTGAGATAGTGACTTCTGGGGCTATGTTCGACCATATGGAAGCTATGCTCGTGAGAAAATGTTACCGTTCCTGGACCTGATCTCTGCTTATCTCTGTGGAACCAAATATCCGGACATTCAAGTCTCTATCTCGCGGACACGTCCTTTAGATAGTGACTTCTAAAGCTATGTTAGGCAATATGGAAGCTACGTTCGGTCACGTTGGGGGGGGGCTTTATTCCAGTGCCTTTTGAGCCCTCGTTGGGCTATGTTTACGACGTTCAAGTCCCTATCTCGCAGACACGTCCTTTAGATAGTGACTTCTAGGGCTATGTTAGACAATCTCTTTACTTTATTCCAGTCCCTTTTGAGCCCTTGTTGGGCCATGTTTTGCGTTCAAGTCCCTATCTCGCAGACACGTCCGTTAGATAGTGACTTCTAGGGCTATGTTAGGCAATATGGAAGCTATGTTGAGCCACGTTAGGGGAGCCTGTTCAGCCAAATGTCCGGCCTCAGTCCAATTACACTTT